ATTGATTATTATGGTAAGCCTTTAGAACTACTCGACAATTTCTAAAATTAAATCAATATTGTACAATAAAATAGTATGACAGTTTGAAAGAATGACGATAATTCCTATTAGTCTACCAAAACTCTTATACAGTAAAATCATGAACCGATCAATATTGAGCCATTACTGGAAAACTGCAAGCACTGGACGGCCGTTTGGTTCTAGTGTGGAACTTATCAGCAGTGCGCATCCACAACCTCACAAGCGGTACTAGAAACTATAACGGGATTGCTTAACCTCTTGATCACTGAGTTAGGATCCATTTTACATTGACTGGTTCATTCTTTCAATGAAAATCAACAGTCTCCACAACTTAATACTAACAAAAACTGATATATTTAATAAACAAGTGTAACTTTGTGAACATGATTATAAACTAAACATTTTATAGTGTATAGACTAGTAATATTGTTTGAATTGACGTAGATAAAAGAGCAATAAACAAAGTTCGAGTATATGATCTAATCAATGAATTTGAATTTTATACCTAAATCAATCCAATGTTCAATTAACATTTAACAAAAGTTGTTAGCGATAGATTCAAAATTATATCTATATATACATATAGAAATATACTTACTAGAATTAATTTTTTCTGCATAAATATCTGATTGATTAAAAAGACAATGATTTGAATGAACGGATTTTATATCTGCATTCTGTTGATTTGATTGTTCATAAAATGGGTTATTTTCTGTATTATTTGTTTTAATAGTATTCACCATAACATTAGTAGTATCTATTAGTTCTGATGAATTTTTCATTGTTCCACTCCATTGGTCAGTATGATTTTGTACAACGTCATGACTTAATAAAAGCATATTTTCACTTTTATTCATATTATCATCATGATGATGCATATGCTCATTGCAATCTGTAATGCTATTCATATTACTACTATCGTTAGTGTTATTATTATTTTTATGAATGAGTGATATGGAATCATTTGACATAACACCATTGGTTAATGTGTTGTTGTTATCCAAGATGATCATATTGGTATTTTCATTGTTAAAATAATCCGACATATTCGATGACGAGTTGGTATAACTAGATGAAGATGGAATTTGTAAACAGGATATTGGTATTCTAGTTTCAATAGAATCATTATTATGATTGAATAAATGATGATGAGGATGATGATGAGGAGGAGGATGGGGATTATATGGCATAGATTGTATCTGATAAAATGGATCATCCGATGGCTGTGGATTGCTTCGGTTATTATGATGATAAGCATTTTCATGCCAAGTTTGTATCCTCCACATTTTGTTGTAAATTTTTTTATAGTAAAATTTAAAATTAAATTGAAATTTGCATCATGTTTAAACGTATTTTATTGTTGTTTTTAATCTAAAAAGATAAATAAGACAGTGAATAATAAGTGAAACGTTTATATTCGAGAAAAATGAATTAGTATTTACTGATGAGTAAATTATGCTTAGTAAACAGTCACCCGGTTTACTTATTCAGCTTTTTTGTTGATTGAAATTCTAAGGAAAAAACCCATCATTTCAGTGATGATAAGAATGTCATTTTTAAACAGAATATTTGTATAGTTAATTCCTCCTTACTGGTTAATCAACTTTTATATAGAGAAGATGAGAAATCTGTGTTGTATGACACTATGAAGACATTTTTTAATAGTGCTCATTAATAGCACTATGAAAATATACGATTGATCATTGAATACACTTACATGCTTTAAAATCATTTCAACTATATGAATAATTATTTCAAATAGTATTAACTTGATGAATAAAAAATAAACGAAATACGCTGAACTATTCGATTGGTTGTTTTAGCAACTTTTTTTTAAACCAATCAAATTCTGTTCACTGGAAATGCAATTTTAATAGACCCCTACGGATAATTCATTATTGCGTTAATTTGATTGGTCATTTTTAGAAAATAATGTCGAAGATAATGGAAAGCAATAAATTTAGATAATTGGTTTTTCTATCCCGTTTTTTTTGTGGAAAATGTTTTTTTTTTAAATTAACAATATGAATTTGGTCCAAAATAAAATGTTTCAGAAATGCTGATGGTTAAAATCTCAAAAACTATTTTGCAAAATCAATATAGTTAATTTTTATAATCTAAATTTTATCCATGTTTATAAACCTGGGTATAAAGACAGTTTTAAATATAATCCTAATCATATATTACTTATATAAGTATGGTTTTATGTATATTCGTTTATCTATAGTTCACTTGATAATATTTTAGTTGACTTTATAGAAATTTTTATCACATGAGTCATGAATGTTTACTCTTAATTTCTAGTAATTCTTCGGATACTATCATGAAGTCGACAACAATTAGTAGTTCAGTTTGAATACAGAGCTTATTGCCATTATTATTCTAAAGTTGAACAATTTCGTTAGGAGTGTTTTAAGATTTGAAATCACCAATAAATTAAATAAAAAGTCATATAAAATGCTTTGAGTAAATAATCATCTAACTCTGTATTTGAATATTGAATCATTTTGTGTGAAGTGTTCTAAAATTATGATTTGTATCAATAATACTGCTTTCGAAAACCATGAATCGATCAGTGTTAGACCACTATTAGAAACCTGAAAGCACTGTACGGCCATTTCGTCCTGGTATGGGACTCATTAGCAGCGCGCATTGCGACTCCCGCACCTCGCAGGATTCGATCCCAGAGCCTTCGGTCTTGCGCACGAACGCCTAACCTCTGGACCACAGAGCCGGTTTATAGAGGTATGAATGTCAAACTTCGATCAGTTTACGTTATTGCACAACCTGATACATTGTCTTCGGTAGCTTGTGAAAACTGTTGAATTTAACTGTTTACACCATACATAATAGAAAACAACTAAAAACTAAAAACAATGAGTAATTATGACATTTGGTAAATAGGGTATATTGACAGTTTCAAACAGAATGAAACACAGAATCTTAACAAACGCTTCATTCACACAGAACAAATATTATGTTTTCTAATTTTTATTAGTTACCTAACTACGTTCAATCTGTAATGTAAACTATAAAATAAAATTTTGATTATGTAATCATTGGTAAGTATTCATTAGTTGCATATTATGATATCGTGTTTCATGAATTTAAATGGAAAAATAATAGCTGATAGTCATTTTCTTATTGGCGTTATATTAAACTTTTAGCAATGGAATCATTAAATTTGAAAACGAATCAATAATACTATTAGGATAAACTCCAGCTGAAGTCATTCTAGGCTTACAGTCGGTTCCAAGCCCAGATAGAAGATGAAGATTGGATATGGAGTTAGCAACACATCCCATAGAAAACAACTTGCTGCAAAAACGCTAATCAGAACAAACAATTAAAACCATGTAAACTTTACTCTGGGAGTTGGATGGTGTTAAGTTACACAAGGTTTATGACGCCTCATGATGAAAGATGAGTTTCTTCGGAAGTTAGGAGACGGATACCCCTTCTGACAATCAACGCGACATTTAATGTGGGTATATGAAGTGTTCGTACAATGTGGGAGACCAGAAGAACCATTCAAGTTGCCGCAGACAGGAAACAATACAACCTGATAGTGCTTGAAATATGTGAAATCCATAGAACATGAGCTGTCCAAAGAAGATTAGCTTCAGAACTGATGCTATTATACTCCGGCCATGAAGAAGAAAATGCCACACATAGGCAAGGAGTTGATGTGATACTGTCTAAAGAAGTCCCGAAAGTACTTATAGGATGGTAATCTCATGAACCAAGGATCATAAAAGCCTCCTTCAAAACAAACAAAGAGAGGATTCAATGTGAATATCGGTGTTAAACCGGGAATCCTCAGGGTGTGGAGATGGCATGACAAACTTATTTTGTAAACAGTTTTTGACACTATTTGTATTTATTTTGTTAATTTTCACAGCTTGTACATTCACTACGAAATTATTGTACACTTTGTTTAAGTGTGTGTCCTTGAAGATATCAGGCGCACTTACTGCTTCCATTTCCCGTTCACTTTTTACATACATTTCTCGTTCTCACATGCTTATTGGATTATGGTCCGAGGACTAATACATATATTATCTACTTTATAGACTGCAGTCACATACATATACTATTCGACGAACTATTTCTGTTTATGGAATATTGTCATTTCTATAATTGTGGTAACATTCGACCAGAACAAATCGAACACGCACAAGTAGCTGCATAAAGTAACGTTCTTATATTTTTATTGTACTTATCGCATTTAACTGATATATTTCAATATACATTTATTTGATAGTGAGACCTATAGATATTAGATATCACTGTTACTTACTTACTTACTTACTTACTTACTTACTTACTTACTTACTTACTTACTTACTTACTTACTTACTTACTTACTTACTTACTTACTTACTTACTTACTTACTTACTTACTTACTTACTTACTTACTTACTTACTTACTTACTTACTTACTTACTTACTTACTTACTTACTTACGCTTGTTACTCCCAATGGAGCATAGGCCACAGACCAGCATTATACAACCAACTCTGTCCTACACTCTTCTTCCCGGTTCCAAACAATTGCTACTCATTCTTCTCAAGTTTCTCTCCAACTCTCGGCCCAATATGTTCTTTCATCCACCTCTTCTCAATCCTCCTTGAGGATCACAAATTATGGCTTGCCATGTGATGAGTTGAATGATATCCACAATATGTGTCATATACACCTTCACCCCATTTTCCTTATTTAGTCATCCGTTGGAATCTGGATTGTTCTCTCCTACAGTAAATTGCTACTGACAGTGTCCGGTCAACGGATGAGGATTATGTTGTGTAGACAACTGTTGATAAATACCTGTATCTTGTGGATGATGGCTTTTGTGGTTCTCTATGTTTTTGCTCCATAAACTAGAATTATCTTGATATTTGTATTGAAAACTTTGACTTTGACGTATTTTGGTAGTTGTTGTGAGTTTTGGATGCACTTCTGTTGTAGAAGTACTACCCTCGATTTGTCGATTTGCATCTTCACATTTGCATCAGATCTACCTTGTTTCTCAATGATGCTAAATTCGTAATGTAAATGTTTCTACATCTTCCAAAGCTTTTAAGTTGGTGTATGTTGTGTTGTATAGGAGAATGTTTCTTTTCCTCTTGTGTGTGTGGAGATGTACTACCTCAAAGTCTGTTGATACACTTGTTGTCTTTTCTTGCATTTTCTATTGGGAATGGGATAGATGAACTTATTTAGACGATACTCATGCTAAAATTGCTACGATACGATTAGCATGGCTCTGCGCAAGGACGACAGGTAAAATTGTGAAGCATACCATATTTTCTGGCCTTGGGATAGGTCAGTTAAGAGAGAGTTAGACTGAAGTTACTAGTATTTGTTATTCAATAAGACATGTTATTCTTAAG